CTTACCACACATCCACCTTAGCATCCTCATCTCAGCCACACTCATCTTATCTACATGTTGTTTCTTGGTTGCCCAATACTCCGTCCCATACAACATAGCTACTCTAATAGCCGTTCTATAAAACTTACCTTTTAGTCTAGTGGGTATTCCTTGGGACGACACTTTCGAAAATTTAAAATCTACTCAAAACAATAAAGGGTGCTGGCTATGTTATTCTGAATTTGGATAGTGGTGTTTATGGTGGGTTCAACAAGACAAAGAACCAAAATACTGGGATGGTGTGTTACTTCAAGTATTCTCAAAACGAAACCCAACAATAATTTTATTAAAATTATGAAGTAATGGAATGTAACCAGTAAAGGCAACAAATTAATTTAATATCTAATTTGACATAAAATTGAGTTTGGCATAAGAATCTCATAAAATCCATCAAAATACAATAATAACATAAGGTTATTTGTACACAAATTTCAACCAAAACTAACTTGAGCATGATACCTAATTCAAGGTAATACAGTTTTTTTTTTTTTTTTGATCGGCAAATATTAGTTATTAGATTAGCACCTATGAGAGAAAATCTCCCCACTCTTGGCAAAGTACCTAAATGCTTGCACTCCCTTAATTCAACTGCCCTAAGAGGAGTTGAACCCATGACCTCCCTAGGAACTAAACCCTAAGGAAGGCATAGTGGCCAACTAGGCTAGGCCTAGTTGATTAATTCAAGGTAATATAGTATCTCACAATAAAAGATAATAATTGCATATGATCAAATTCTTTTTTCTTTTTCTTTTTTTCTTTTTTTGATCAGCAACAAGAGAGCACTTTATTAATGATAAAAGAGAAGTACAGCAAAACCAAAAAGGAGCAAAAATTGCATCATAGCAAATCCATCTCATCCCAACTAGGTTGAAAGAAAGCGAAATCATGTGCAAGCTCCACCAAGAGAAAACAAAGTGGTTTGCAACAGATCAACTACAGCAAGAGGAAGGAAAGAAAAGAACAAAACAAAACAAAACCATACTCCTACAGCCCAACACCAAAACCCAACGACACCAAACTGCCATAAGGCATCCCGAAAGCCAAGTAAACAAAGGCAATAGATCAACATGGAGCCAAGGTGAATGACAACAACACAGCAGGAGCAAAGAAATCAACATCACAGCAGCAGCAACAAGAAACCAATGTGACAATCAACCTCACAGCATCATCAAGCAATATTTAATCTCAGCAGCAAACATTAAGGCACCAAAAATCCAATCTCAGCACTAAAAGCATTCGGTTCACAGCTTCATGTTCTTTATGTCTCATTTTTTCATTTTCCATTTTCTGTACATGAGCATGGATGATTTTGGCTCTTCATAGCTGAAGGTAGCTTCTTCTTTTCTTTTTTTTTAATTTCTATTTCTATCCAACAACAAAGGAGATGACAAAGGAAGCTATACATAAAAAGATAAAGTCAAACTCATTTAGTTTTGTGCATTTCCTTTGTCCCCCCCCCTTTTCCTTCACTAACAACCAAAATAAAGCATTAATAACCAAAGCAACAATCATACATGAAAATTCGTAGAACCTCAATACAACAAGCAAATTCATGGGAATAATTACAACATTATAATAAGATTTTTGTTAGAATTTCCCATCTTTACCTTCACCTACTCCACTACACACTCCACTTCACCTACCTCCACTTCACCACACACTCCACTTCACCTAACCCACTATCACCTCCACTACACCTACTACCACATTTTCTTCTATATATAGATTGTATAGGAATTGTAATTAATCAATCTTGTAATTACATCAATCAATCAATATCAATAATACATATATTTTCTACAATTTTTAATCATAGATACAATACAAACATTAAATAGAAGGGCATAGACATAAAGAGAGAGAGACCTCTGTTCGGAATTGTCAGGAATCAGAAAAATCAACAGGAACAATGGTGTGGCCGGAGCTGTAAAGGTCCTTGCTGGTGACATCTAGGGTTTGATCATCGATACATTTGGCCCTCAAATGGAGTGAGAGATGAAAGAGTGAGAGGCCTTAATCGGTTAACCAGGTTGCCTATTTTCCACTATTAAACAATTGAATGGTTGGGATCAAATTTAAGTATTCGTAGGGTTTAGAATTAATTTTATATTTAAACTATTCGATTTGATATCAATTTTACCTCTACCATAACTAAACAGAAGTTGATGTGACACTATTTGAAATTTCATTTCTAATCGACATTTTAGAGATAGTTTGGGAGATAAAATAAAGTTTTAAATGAAATTTGGGAGTCACATTATCAATTTCTGTTTGATTATAAACAAAAGCTAATGATGGAGGTAAAATTGATCTAAAATCAAATAGTTTAAATATAAAATTAATAATATTAAAACAATATAAATTGAATTGATTTTTTAGTGATAAAGAGTAAAATGATATTTTCCCGTAATGATTTGTATTTTACAAGGTTGTAGATGACATCAATTAATGAGAGTTAAAATATCATACAGAAGGTAGTAATTAGACTACAAAATTACATAAATGAGTTGTTCACTTATTTCATTTACATTCAAGTAAGATGGTATTACCTCGCGATTACGATTTGTTAAGCTTCTAATTTTGATCAAAACAATAATGTGCTCTACAATTTCTGACACTAGCATTTCGTTTATTTGGGTGAAAATGTAAGACGCACTTATTAGTACTTTAATGGAATAAGGTTATCTGAAATGTAAGAGACGCTTATTAGTGCTTTAATGGTTTAATGTTATTTTTAGTCATCAAAATTATGGACGAAATTGAAATTTTATCATCGAAAGAGTTAAAAGTTGAATAAAAAATATATAAAGAAGTGAATGCGAATATATAAAGATGTGCATCCAAATATTCCATCCAAGCATCAAAAGAGAAATGTTGATGGAAAAAATACAGTTGAAGAAGTTAACAATTATCGTGTCGTTCGATTGGATTCTTTTCCCTCTCTCCAAATAGAAAATTTGCAAACCTAATATATCTTGCCATATATGATTGTCATAGTTTTTATGCTTGCTGTCTTCTTCCTCCTTGTAAGTTATCTATGGACCAAGATAAAAAGCTCCTATAAGAAAACTAAGGGCCAACAAACTGAATACCACTACTCTACCATCACCGCTGCAACTCCACCACCATCACCTAATGTTATTTGTACTTTGATTAATAAGGAAACGAAAGAAATTTGAACATAAAAAATTAATAACACAATGATACACCTTCAAAATAAAATACAACTTCACCTAATCCAAATCAATGCTACAAAGAAGCTTTTACTACCACAAACAAAATAGAACACCAAAAAAATAAATCAAAATAGCAGCAGAATTTCATAATTCAATTGGCAAGGAACCAAAATAATATCAGAAAACAAGAAATTAAATCACAATCGGCAAAGACCCAGAGTCTAACTTATTCGTATAGTGATACTTAACTTGTGTGATTCTATCACAATCAAGTGCGTAATCAATTCAGCCACCACAGCAGAGTGTAACTTTTTCACAAATCTTATTCGTATAGTGAATTTTTTGCAATTCACTTTGATAACCTTTGGTTCATATTCCACAAGTAAATCAAAATTTTGTTTCTCTTTTCATCTTTTTCCCCATTTTCTAAGCAACCAAAAGAGCATAAAAGGAATCTGCACACCAGACTCGATTCCTCAAGAGATACTGAAATTAATAGTACTTGTCAGAGATTCAAAACAGATAAAGAAAAGAAAAATACCTAACTTTTATGTTGGAGAGAATAGGGGACTCAAGCAACTACATTGAACTGAGATAGGGGGCTCATGATGCACAGGAACCCCCGAATGAAAATGAACACTAATTTAAACATTTACAAAATTCATAGATGCATTTCAACATTTACAAATTTTCCATTAAATGCACCTCCAACAAAGGGAAAAAAGAAACAAATTCCACTAACTAAGAAACTCAACAAAGAAGGAGAAGGGACTAGAAAACTTGTGTCAAAAAAAAAAAAAATTTGTTGCAATGTGTAACTTTACCACGTGTATAATGCTACTGACTTCGATTTCCCTTACTCTGCCACTAATTACACCACACTTCCTCTTGGCTTTGATAATCTCCTCTTTTGGTGAAAAATAAAAGAAATTGGAAAGACAAATAAAATTGTAATTATATTCTAAAGTCATCAATAATTACCTTAAATACTATTCTCATATCAATTTTACATCTCACAATGTTAAATGGAAAGATCTAATCGTCTACAACCAACCCAATTTCCAAATTTGTCGGATTAACACTCCGTAGGAACTTGAAGGTAAAATTCCAAATATCTATATTATGAAATTGTAAAATTGGTTAGATTTTTTTTTTCCCCCTGAACTTTCTACATTTTAATAAATTAATACAAATGAACTAGAACAGTGACATATTTCTTGTCAATATTAGTATGAGTACATAACTTAGGAAATTCTACACCCGATCTTCAAAGAATTGTTATATTTTTTCTGACTCCATGACAAGTTCCCTATTACCAAAGACAGGTGTTGATTTGTTTTCTTTTCTTATCAATTTTTTTTTTTTTTGGAAGGGGTGGTTGGGGGACTACATCCGACACAAATCTATGATTAAAGTCAACATTACTCCTTCGACTGTATTCAATTTTATTTTTCTTCTTTACCTTAGTTCATATCGTCATGGCTTCAATTTTTGTCCATTTTTGTGTGTGCACGGGTGTGTGTATTAAAGTTCACTATCTTCTCAATAGAAGAAAACAATGTAGCTATCTAATTGTTGATAAAAAAAATTAGAAGAAAATAAAAAAAGAAACAGAAAGAAAAATCAAGCTTTGGTATATATACTTCTTGTTGTCGAAAAGATTCAAGCGAAAATATGGCTCCAAAATACAACAAATACAAGCAAAGAAATAAAGTGGCACACCCGCCAGTGCCCTACTTTCAATTAAAAGAGAGCAAATACTAGCAAACAAATAAATTGGCATACCTGCCAGTACCCTGCTATCAATTAAACGAAAGCAAATAAATAAATTGACACACCCGCCAGTGCCCTGCTATCAATTAAAAGAAAGCAAATAAATAAATTGGCACACCCGCCAGTGCCCTGCTATCAATTACAAGAAAGCAAATAAATAAATTGGCACACCTGCCAGTACCCTGCTATAAATTAAAAGAAAGCAAGGAAATAAAGTGGCACACCCGCCAGTGCCTTGCTATCAACTAGAAAGCAAAGGAACGCAGATAAATTAGCACACCCGTCAGTGCTACTGCTAGGAGGGAGGGAGGTATACCTTTACTTCTATTTAAAGATGGTGAAATTGAGGACCTGCGAAAAAAGAAAACAAAACATGAAAATGAGTTAGAAAATAAGACAATGCTTAAGGAAATTTAAGATTATGGGGAGAAAGGGTATAATATATGTACGACGAATGTCATTTTACACATATCCTTTCGCATTAACAAACCATCTACACAAACACACAAATATAATCATTTAGCTCTTGAAGTAATATAGTTACTTTCATTATATATTGTAAAACTGCATATAAATCCAATCCAAGATTACTTGGAGCTACAAATTTTCTATAGATTGAATATAAACAGATAATTTATTATTTTTTAAATATATATTCCACAATCATTGCCACTGGATCCGCAATTACATTAAAATCCCCATGTTTTCAAAAATATGTTTCAAGTTTTAACTAGGGCTAAAAAAATAAACCATAATGTCTTCCAATTCCTAGAATAAAAAGCAGACTTTCTGTTGGAGAATGACCATATTATATGAACCAACTGTCTTTGTATTTTCGTTAAAACACAAAAAAAAAAATTGTCTTTGTATTTTTGCGTCATTTTGGTTTTAGACCAAGAAATAAACAAAACACCATCAGCACTACGAATTGCAGAGCTGTTTTCGTTGATAAGGTTTTCAAAAGGGCACTGTTGGAAAATAAAGCAAGTAATGCCATGTAAATAAAAAATTCATACATAAAATTTATTCTGAACTATATAATTGCTCAAGCATGTTGTTTTCCATAGATTTTTGTGACAAATTCTGTATAACAATTATGTTTAAATGTGTGCATTGGATAATTGAAAATGGAAGATCCAAAGTCTCCCCATGTAAAATTGCACTTGTAAACCTTGCAAAACCCATATTATAGCAAATATTATTGCACCTCTAAAGGCTTTAAACAAACTAAACTACTAAAAGAATTTCCCACTTATGGCTGATTTCATGAAATGAACAAAATGTGCATGTTTTGTTAGGGTTGTATGCCGGTGATCATAGTTTGTGTCACCAGGTAAGTGTTGTTAACCAAGGGGAAAAAAACACTCAATATGGTTGTGTGCCTAATGAGTATATAATTATGTTCACATAAAAGAACACGTAACACAAAGCACTCACTCACAAAAATATATTCAACACAACAATGTTTACAGTAAAATAATAAAATTCAAGCAAATCAAATAATCCAAATCCTTGACAATGAAATTATTGAACAAATACCTCAAGTAATACCATTTTCAGAAAAAAAATTTAACAAAAATAATTTAAAACCATTACAGTTAAAAAAAAAACTCAAAAGGAACTTAATCCGTGCATGCATTACTTGCATATATCCAATGATTTGTTACAAAAGAAGAATGAAAAAGATTTTAAAGTTATTACATTTCACATAAACATAGATTTGTAGAAATGAATGTAGCAAATAAAAAATTAATGTGAAGCACAATGCTTTCCCAACCAATGTGCTAGGTTTTCCCCAACCAATGTGCTAGGTTTTGAATGAGCTAAAATTCAAAAAAATTATCATTGGATACCCAAATTATATTTAGGTTGTTTGGGATGTTCTAAATAAGTGCTCTTTTTGACCTTTTTATGAAATATGTGTTGAGTTTGAAGTGATGTGGTAGAGAGGTGATGTGACTTAAATAAGATGACGTGACTTAAATAAAATAGTGACTTTTTGACTTTTTAACTTATTTTGAAGATGCCAAACTTAGCCTTGATCTATTTCAGTGAGCTAGATTTTAACCATTTTTGGTACCCAAAATAATTTGAAATATCTCATGCTTAACACTAATTTACTAAAAAGATTTACTTATCTTCTTTCTAGTAAGTAAAAAGGACAGCACATTCAAATTCCTCTCCAAATGCTCTTCACTAAAGTTTATTTTTGTTGATCCAAAATAAATAAATAAATAAAATAAAAAATAATGCATTTTTACGAACATCTTAAATGCAATCAAAATTCAAAGAACAGTTTGAAAAAAATCGTTTAAAATCCAATTTGGAATTGTTTCGAACAGTCTCTCATTCTTCGGATGATCTTAACTATGATCAAAAAAATCGTTTAGAACAGTTTGGAACAGCTTAAATCCAATCAAATTCAAACATCTTAAACACTAGGGAGAAAAATAGTTTAGAATCGTTACCAAGTTTGGAAAAAAAAAACCCTCAAGTTGTAGTTTCACTAGCCCAATGTTTAAAATTCTGAGATAATAATCTGAGATAATCCAAAGAATGAGAGACAAAATTGGATAAAAATCAAAGTGAATAGAGTTTCCAGCAGCAAAAAATGAAAGGTTAGTAAAAGTTATAATAAATAGGTGATATGGGTTTTCACCCCCACAAACAATGAACTTAAAAGAAGTAAAAAGTCAACAAGCAAAGAAGAGTTCACAAAATCGGCCATAACACAATGAATGAGAGAGAGAGAGAGAATACATCAGCAAAAGAACACAAGAAGATGCAGACTTCAACTGCTTCTTTATATTAACACAGAATCGGAGTAAGGCTCACAAAATGGACCGACATATATACTAGATTGAGTTGCAGAAAATGGAGATGGAAGAGTTTCAACTTTGCGGGAAGGTCTTTGAGTAGCGTCGTAGGAAGCATCGTAGGAGGGAGAGAATATTGTCGGAGTCACTTTGGGAGAAAAGCGTTAGGGCTTTCTTAGAGGGGAGAAAGCAAGAGAGAGAGACAAATAGAGAGAGAGAGAGGAGCTTTTCCATCAGGACAACATCTGGTTGAGAAAGTTTCAAGTTTTTTCCATTAAATTATTCAATGGCTTAGATTAGTTTGTGAAGATTCAATGGTACAGACCACTTTGACGAATTACTAACAATGGAATCAATAGCCTTCTGCATGAGGCTAAACAGATTGCCGCGGTGCCCACCAGATGTTACAGCAGTCAACACACTAGGCTGGCGAGACCGATCTTGACAAAGAGCAACCAAGGAAAGCAGGCTCAGAATTCGAATCTTTTCAGGAATTGCATCGTCATAACTCAATAATGACACCAACTCATTAATGAGCTCAGGCTCATTGTTAGAGAAAGAAGCCAAGTCATCAGTATCGCCACATGCTTGAACAAGAACCATGAAGGCATATAGGCGAATGCACGTGTACTGTTGTCGGGCAGCTAATGAGCTGAAAGCCCTTGCAAACCGCAATCTTGTCAAAAGTGAAAATCTTAAACTTGGGGGCACTTTGTACTCTATGACTAACTTATCCAAAAGTTCAAGGTCAGTCTCTTGATAAGTGTTAATGTTAGGCAAATGAATGATTTGTAAACCTTGGGTTGATTGTTCATCAGCCGGAAGTTCATTGGATGACTCATTCGTGGCATAGAACTCAAAATGGAGGGTGGAACCTAGCTCATAAGCAATTGGCTCAGATCCATCCTCTATAGCACATGTAATTAATCCAAGGCCTACTTCCTTTCCCCCCCAAGCTTGCGCAAAAGCAAACAACTTTGAATTAAGAGAAGTATCTCTTGTGACATACTTTCCAATTGTTTTCTTCGAGAAAGCTGCCAAAGTTTGCAGGCAAGCCTCAACCACATCCGCATCGATGGAGGCAAGCAGAGATGAAAGATGATGCTGCATATCCACATAAGAAACAAAAATGAATTTTACATAGAAAATGGGGGAGGGCGGAGTAAGGTAAGGAGTGCATTTCTGTTGCAACAAGGAAACACCAAAAAGAACAATATAAAATTTTACACATGTAAACACACAAGCAAAACAAAAAAGATAAAAATAAAAAAACCAAAATATATCAAAAAAGCATCACAAATATACTAGAGGGGGGAAAAGATACCTCATAAGAACTATAGAAATGCTTATTTGTACAGTTCTCCAAAATTATCCTTACAACACGGAGAATCTGAAGAACAGCCTCTCTTGGGAAAGGAGGATCAGATTCCAAAAAGTTATCCTCAAACTGCAAATCCTTCCTTGTTTTTATGTGCTTCTCAAAAAATGTATCGAAGTGATTGAAAAGATCAACCCAGTGATGAAAATCTCCCTGCATCAATGCAAACCAGCATTAGTCAAACTGCATAGAAGCAGGCTTCTACACTGATGTCAAGTAAAAGCTGCAAACACACCTTATCGAACTCCCAAACAAAACCTTTCAGCGGTTCCTCTATATTCTCAAGTGTAGTAGTTATAACACCATTGATGAAGGATTTAATTTTTGGAGGCTGACACAAAAGAACAAAAAGACAATCACCACACTTCAAAGCATTAGTAAAACCTTGCTAAGATATACATGAAGCTTAACTTAATAGACAAAACAGCAAGTGGGAAAAAACTTAAAAAACAACAAATAATTGTGAATTTATTTTCCATAAATGTGAAGAGGAAGGGGTGTATGTGTGTGTGTGTGTGTGTGTGTGTGTGTGAGAGAGAGAGAGAGAGAGAGCAAGCAATTGTGAACTTGATTACCCATATAACCAAATTTACATTATATATCCCAAAATAAATCTCCTTAAATGATTACTGCCCCAATCAGTGTGCCAGTGCAAAAACCTAAAGTAACAAGAAAAGTTCAAAGGGCATGTTTGGTTTGTGTTTGTAGAGTAATTTTTGAGATAAAAAGTACAAAAACTTGTTTAGTTTGCCTTTTTTCAAAAATGGTTTTGAAAAATTGTTTTGGGGAGAGAGTTTTAAAAAAAATGATTGATTTGATGTGTATGAGAGAGTGAGTGATTTTGGAAAGTAAGTAACCAAACAAAATTTTGAGATTTTTTTTAGAAAAATTTGTTTGGTTTGATTACTCTTGAAAATTTATTTGTAGAGAATTTTTCCGAAAATTTTTTTGAAAAACAAACCAAGCAAGCCCTTTATATCTTTAGAAAGAAAAATTTATTGATAAGCCACCAAAAGGAGATGCTAGATATCCAAAAAAACAATGAAGCTGCCACTTGTATACCACTATAAAAAAAATAAAAATCACCCAAACCTCACTTGCAACACCTAGCTTCTCAAAGACACTACAAAATCCAAAAAATGGTCAGTATGAAATAACATTCCACAGAACAGCAACTATAAAAAAGAGACAAACCCAGCGTTTTAAATGGCTCTAGGCGCACCGAGACAATAAGGTCTCCAATAGCCTAAGCGTGAGGCGAGGCGCGTGCTTCACCAAAGCGAGGCGCAAGTAGTATAAGAACAAAAAAATTATAAAATAGGCAAACTTTTCAACATAACAAATATATATAGAATTCTAAAAATCATAAAGCAAGCATACCAGAGAAGAAAAAAAATAGAGAAATAATACAACGAAGAAGCAGGAGAAGAAAAGAAGAGGGGAGGGATAAAATAAGAAAAGAAGAGAAGAAAAATAAATAAAGAAAAAATTGAGACTGACCCATGAAGAGAACCTATCGAAGAAGAAGAGAAGAAGAGAAAAAAAATCAAGAAAGAAAAACCAGAGGCAGAGAGATAACCCAACCAAGAGAACCATCGAAGAAGAAAAAGAGAACCACCGAAGAAGAAGAAGAGAAGAAATTGAAGAAGAAGCCAAAGTCGTGTCGTCTTCTCATTATTTGATTGCTTTTTTTATCTTCTCCACTAGGATTTTTTTAATCACTGTCTACTTCCTTTTTTGACCACGTTTGGTCATTTTATATTAAAGAATTTTAGCCTTGTTTGGTTTGATTTTGGGAGAAATTTTTTAGAAATATGCTCCACAAACACTTTTTAAGAGTAATCAAACCAAACAGATTTTTTCAAAAAAACTCTCAAAAATGTGTTTGGTTATCCAATTTCCAGGATTACTTTTAAAACATGTTTGCGAAAAAGGCAAACCAAACAAGTTTTTGTATTTTTTATCTCAAAAACTACTCTACAAAAAGGCAAACCAAATAAGTTTTTATACTTTTTTATCTGAAAAACTACTCTACAAAAAAAACCAAAGTTATTTTAGAGAGAATATTTGGAAAAGACCAACCAAACAAGTTTTTGTACTTTTTATCTCAAAAACTACTCTACAAAAAAAACCAAAGTTATTTTAGAGAGAATATTTAGAAAAAGGCAAACCAAACAAGTTCTTGTACTTTTTTATCTCAAAAACTACTCTGCAAACACAAACCAAACACACCCTTTGATTCCCTGTGGGTATGCCCACAAAAAAACACTTAATCAACAGTTGGAGTAGAAAAATAGGTAAAACCCATGAAGTCCGCGCCTCGTGCCTCAAAAAAAAGCCCTCGCCTCAACACCTAAGTTGCGCCTTACGTATTGCACCTAGCCTCGACCTGTTTGAAGCGCAAGGCTACGCCGTGCACTTTTTAAAACACTGGACAAACCTAAAGGCACAAAAAACCAATCTTCTTCCTTCTCTCCCCCACTCTCCGCCTTCCAACCATGGAATAAGGTCAGCCACAACTTGGGATCACCCAATGCACCACATATATGCTTGCTTAAAATCATAACCCAAAATTCCGTCTCTACTAGGCAATGGATAGAAGACGATTGACTAATTAGCTATCCTCACTAATTTACGATGATTTCACATCTCGAAATTAAATTATCAACCATAAAAATCTTCCCTGCCTTCAACAAAAAGAAAGCTACCTTGGAAGACGACTTAGAAGAGTAAATCCCCTTCCCAGGAAAAAGAGTCTATCATGCCCACCAAAGCCTCATACAATGATTTCACTCAGAGCTACTCAAACTTCACCTCGACCTCTTCCATCTCATAATATCATCACCCTCACCTATTTGTGATATGATATCCCATATAAATCCCAAAAAACCCCCACCAATAACCCATAACAGATTTGCTTGTTCTATTACTAATGATTCAAATAGATCATAAACATCTTTTAACATTTAGAACATAAAATTGTACCAGATTTTTACAGTTGCTCAAGGTCAAGGGTGGTCACAAAGAAAAGAATCGGGGACTTGGACATAAAACACCAAGCCCCAACTTACAAGCCAATTCTCATATCCTGCAACTTAAAAATAAAGTTCAACAGGAATTCCATGGTTACCCCAAGACATTCGGGAATCAAAAGTACTGGTAGGAATGGGCAGAAAATGTGGGAATATTAATTCTTTTTATTCTTTAATTTGGCAAGGTTTGTCGTTAAATTGAGGATCAATATTAAAGCCTTTCAAAAAGATCTTTACAAAGCTTGTACTATGAACCCTTGGTTTAGGTGGGTGATTTGGAGGTGGTGATGGCTTAGACAAAAGCTCGATCTCTTGACTCAAAGCAATACATTAACCTTTAAGTTTGGGTTTCTTATTACCGTTACATTTTTTTTAATGTATTTATTCAATTAATATTAGATAACAATGAAAATGCATGCTCATCGACCAAAAAATTTGTTGCTATGGAAGGTCATTTATATATCCTTTGAAATTCTTCTCATCTTTCATTTTTAATTTCCTATTCTTGGGATTCTCACTTTTCTTCGTTATTATCTGGCACATTGATTAGTATGCATTTACTTACTACATTCTTGGGAAAATTGCTCACTCACCCTCCCATCTAACTATAATATTGTTCAGTTTTTGTCAAACAAAAAAGACCACCCAAGAAAGTTAGGTAGAGAAGCCAAAGGTAGGAACAGTTCAGGACACCTCCAGCCAAGCATTCTACTCATTTGCCAACACCATCCCCCTCAAAAAAGAAAACCTAAAAATAAAAATAAAATCACTAAACTGACCTGGCATGCAGACGTAATGGCTAAACAGGGTAAAACATCAATTATCTAATGAAAGAACTAGTCCACTCTTCAGGCTAACATAAACAGAGAGATTTTCTCCATAAATTGCAGAGTCTTGATTTTCAACAGAAAGAACTACTCCGCTGTTGCTTACCTCAGGTCCAAGAAACCTCATTTATCAAACAAATGCCACCAAAATTTAACATCCATCAGATTCCACAAACCCATAAAAGTTCTTAATCATATTCCACATCACCAAACCCCACAAAAAAGGGAAAAAAAATATAGAGAGGGCATTCTCGTCCTTCAGATAATCAAAACACTTCCCTTTAAAAAAACAAAAAATTGTGGACAGATAAAGTAAAGAAACTAGCTAAATTCTTTTAGTTCCAGAAAATCAAATAGAAATTCTGATTTGTGTTACAATGCCATCTAACCACATGGTTTTTTGCATTTTTCCATAGCAATATTCCAAGATTTAAAACATATATACATATAGGAATAAAAGAAAAAGAGAAGCAATATTGACATACCATTTTTGTGTGTGTGTGTGTGTGTGTGTGTGTGTGTGTGTGAGAGAGAGAGAGAGAGAGAGAGAGAGAGAGAGAGAGAGAGAAAACATAATAGAAATGGCAGTATATGACACTAAAAGCAATCAACTTCAAAATCAGCATTGAACAATTGTAGTCTCTTTATGCAACAATCTACAATTTCATGTTCCAAAACCAATTAATAAAATATTTCTAAACCATCCAACTAGTCAATTGCTTTGCTTTTCCGATCATTGATAACTATATGAATTACTTTTATGCTTCGGTGACAAACAGATGAACACAATCAACATAAAAATAACAAATAAATAAACAAAACTTTAAATTGTTAGATAAACTTTAAATGTATCGTACCACTTCTACAGCCCTCCTCTTGAACTTCATCTTGAAATCAACCAACTGAAACCATTGCACAGTATGAAGATTCGACGGCGAATCGATCGATGCTCCGCTGAGAATCGACCGAATTCAAAACTGTGGTTGATGAAGAAAGCTTAGACTGATCGGAGTGAGTAAAAATGAAGTAGAATGGATCGGAAAATTAAGAATTGAGATTAGGAATGCTAGAGAGATGTAAGTGGATTGAATATAGAGGATGAAGAGGTTTTAGAGATCAAAATTTTCTAGGGTTTTCCGAGAAAATATTGCAAAAGCGGCCGTAACGGGTGGCGGTAACTGCCAAAACCGTTACGTAACGGCGTTACGTAACGGTTGCGGCCGCTTTTTAAAACCTTGCTTATGACATACTTTCCAATTGTTTTCTTCGAGAAAGCTGCCAAAGTTTGCAGGCAAGCCTCAACCACATCCGCATCGATGGAAGCAAGCAGAGATGAAAGATGATGCTGCATATCCACATAAGAAACAAAAATGAATTTTACATAGAAAATAGGGGAGGGCGGAGTAAGGTAAGGAGTGCATTTCTGTTGCAACAAGGAAACACCAAAAAGAACAATATAAAATTTTACACATGTAAACACACAAGCAAAACAAAAAAGATAAAAATAAAAAAACCAAAATATGTCAAAAAAGCATCACAAATATACTAGAGGGGGGAAAAGATACCTCATAAGAACTATAGAAATGCTTATTTGTACAGTTCTCCAAAATTATCCTTACAACACGGAGCATCTGAAGAACAGCCTCTCTTGGGAAAGGAGGATCAGATTCCAAAAAGTTATCCTCAAACTGCAAATCCTTCCCTGTTTTTATGTGCTTCTCAAAAAATGTATCGAAGTGATTGAAAAGATCAACCCAGTGATGAAAATCTCCCTGCATCAATGCAAACCAGCATTAATCAAACTGCATAGAAGCAGGCTTCTACACTGATGTCAAGTAAAAGCTGCAAACACACCTTATCAAACTCCCAAACAAAACCTTTAAGCGGTTCCTTTATATTCTCAAGTGGAGTAGTTATAACACCATTGATGAAGGATTTAATTTTTGGAGGCTGTACTTACCCAAAAAAAAAATTTTGGCGGCTGACACAAAAGAACAAAAAGACAATCACCACACTTCAAAGAATTAGTAAAACCTTGCTAAGATATACATGAAGCTTAACTCAATAGACAAAACAGCAAGTGGGAAAAAAATTAAAAAACAACAAATAATTGTGAATTTATTTTCCATACAATGTGAAGAGGAAGGGGTGTGTGTGTGTGTGTGTGTGTGTGTGAGAGAGAGAGAGAGAGAGAGAGAGCAAGCAATCGTGAACTTGATTACCTATATAACCAAATTTACATTATATATCCCAAAATAAATCTCCTTAAATGATTACTGCCCCAATCAGTGTGCCAGTGCAAAAACCTAAAGTAACAAGAAAAGTTCAAAGGGCATGTTTGGTTTGTGTTTGTAGAGTAATTTTTTAGATAAAAAGTACAAAAACTTGTTTGGTTTGCCTTTTTTCAGAAATGGTTTTGGAAAATTATTTTGGGGAGAGAGTTTTAAAAAAAGTGATTGATTTGATGTGTATGAGAGAGTGAGTGATTTTGGAAAGTAGGTAACCAAACAAAATTTTGAGATTTTTTTTAGAAAAATTTGTTTGGTTTGATTACTCTTGAAAATTTATTTGTAGAGAATTTTTTCCAAAATTTCTTCTGAAAAACAAACCAAACAAGCCCTTTATATCTTTAGAAATAAAAATTTATTGATAAGCCACCAAAAGGAGATGCTAGATATCCAAAAAACAATGAAGCTGCCACTTGTATGCACCTATAAAAAAAATAAAAATCACCCAAACCTCACTTGCAACACCTAGCTTCTCATAGACACTACAAAATCCAAAAAATGGTCAGTATGGAATAACATTCCACAGAACAGCAACTATAAAAAAGAGACAAACCCAGTGTTTTAAATGGCTCTAGGCACACCGAGACGATAAGGTCTCCAATAGCCTAAGCGTGAGGCGAGGCGCGTGCTTCACCAAAGCGAGGCGCAAGTAGTATAAGAACAAAAAAATATAAAATAGGCAAACTTTTCAACATAACAAATATATATACAATTCTAAAAATCATAAAGCAAGCATATCAGAGAAGAAAAAAATAGAGAGATAATACAACGAAGAAGCAGGAGAAGAAAAGAAGAAGGGAGGGATAAAATAAGAAAAGAAGAGAAGAAAAATAAATAAAGAAAAAATTGAGACCGACCCATGAAGAGAACCCATCGAAGAAGAAAAGAAGAAGAGAAGAAGAGAAAAAAAATAAAGAAAGAAAAACCAGAGGCAGAGAGATAACCCAACCAAGAGAACCATCGAAGAACAGAAAGAGAACCACCGAAGAAGAAGAAGAGAAGATATTGAAGAAGAAGCCAAAGTCGTGTCGTCTTCTCATTTTTTGATTGCTTTTTTTATCTTCTCCACTAGGATTTTTTTTAATCACTTTCTACTCTCTTTTGACCACGTTTGGTCATTTTATATTAAAGAATTTTAGCCTTGTTTGGTTTGATTTTGGGAGAAATTTTTTAGAAATATACTCTACAAACACATTTTAAGAGTAATCAAACCAAACAGATTTTCCCAAAAAAACTCTCAGAAATGTGTTTGGTTATCCAATTTCCAAGATTACTTTTAAAACATGTTTGCGAAAAAGGCAAACCAAACAAGTTTTTTGTATTTTTTATCTCAAAAACTACTCTACAAAAGGCAAACCAAACAAGTTTTTGTACTTTTTTATCTGAAAAACTACTCTACAAAAAAAACCAAAGTTATTTTAGAGAGAATATTTGGAAAAAGACCAAATCAAACAAGTTTTTGTACTTTTTATCTCAAAAACTACTCTACAAAAAAAACCAAAGTTATTTTAGAGAGAATATTTAGAAAAAGGCAAACCAAACAAGTTTTTGTACTTTTTTATCTCAAAACTACTCTGCAAACACAAACCAAACACACCCTTTGATTCCCTATGGGTATGCCCACAAAAAAATACTTAATCAACAGTTGGAGTAAAAAAATAGGTAAAACCCATGAAGTTCGTGCCTCGCGCCTCAAAAAAAAACCCTCGCCTCAACACCTAAGTTGCGCCTTACATATTGCACCTCGCCTCGACCTGTTTGAAGCGCAAGGCTACACCGCGCACTTTTTAAAACACTGGACAAACCTAAAGGCACAAAAAACCAAATCTTCTTCCTTCTCTCTCCCACTCTCCGCCTTCCAACCATGGAATAAGGTCAACCACAACTTGGGATCACCCAATGCACCACATATATGCTTGCTTAAAATCATAACCCAAAATTCCCTCTCTACTAGGCAATGGATAGAAGACGATTGACTAATTAGCTATCCTCACTAATTTACAATGATTTCACATCTCGAAATTAAATTATCAACCATAAAAATCTTCCCTGCCTTCAACAAAAAGAAAGCTGCCTTGGAAGACGACTTAGAAGAGTAAATCCCCTTCCCAGGAAAAAGAGTCTCTCATGCCCACCAAAGCCTCATACAATGATTTCACTCAGAGCTACTCAAACTTGACCTCGACCTCTTCCATCTCATAATATCATCACCCTCACCTATTTGTGATATGATATCCCATATAAATCCCAAAAAAACCCCACCAATAACCCATAACAGATTTGCTTGTTCTATTACTAATGATTCAAATAGATCATAAACATCTTTTAACATTTAGAACATAAAATTGTACCAGATTTTTACAGTTGCTCAAGGTCAAGGGTGGTCACAAAGAAAAGAATTGGGGACTTGGACATAAAACACCAAGCCCCAACTTACAAGCCAATTCTCATATCCTGCAACTTAAAAATAAAGTTCAACAGGAATTCCATGGTTACCCCAAGACATTCGGGAATCAAAAGTACCGGTAGGAATGGGCAGAAAATGTGGGAATATTAATTTTTTTTATTCTTTAATTTGGCAAGGTTTGTCGTTAAATTGAGGATCAATATTAAAGCCTTTCAAAAAGATCTTTACAACGCTTGTACTATGAACCCTTGGTTTAGGGCAAATGGGTGATTTGGAGGTGGTGATGGCTTAGACAAAAGCTCGATCTCTTGACTCAAAGCAATACATTAACCTTTAAGTTTGGCTTTCTTATTACCGTTACATTTTTTTTAATGTATTTATTCAATTAATATTAGATAACAATGAAAATGCATGCTCATCGACCAAAAAATTTGTTGCTATGGAAGGTCATTTATATATCCTTTAAAATTTGAACCTATTTACGGCGGTAAAGAACTGTCGTTTCTGGTCTTATATTACCGCCGTTTTTGGTAGAGAGGCTTAAATTATCCACTAGCTATGTCGCCTTGGTTGGAGCCAAGATGAGGTCTTGTTAGAGACCGACCATGATATGAGAGTACCCACTTTTCCATGATATGTCTGTTATGGATAGCCAGATGCTAGATCTCATTTGATGCCTGAGAGGCGAGCAAATAGAGAATTCGAGTTAGACGCTAGGAAGCGACTCGTGCGCTTAAGAGCGACTAGACTAAGATCTGTATGGTGTGTGAGTTTAACATCACTCTTTGGAAGAGTAACTCCACTGTAACATGCATTCATACTGCATGTGCTTATCGACCCGTTAGCGAGGTGAAAGAATGGATCCCTGCTTCTTCACCGTGTGAGTCCTAAAAGTCATTTTTTCCTAAATGACTTTACTTTGTGCCTTTTGTGACCTTTGACTATGTCATAAGATGAGGAGTTGATGTTCAGCTACTTTGGTATGTTGCCTGCGGTCATGTATGGTTCGGCTTTAAGGGACATTACTGGGAAAGTGGTCAATTTCAAATTGAATGATATGAGGGTGAAGGGAAGATCATCTAGTTCTACATCTCTGCTCTATATTCACTGTCGACAACTTACATCGCTCTTTATAGGATGCTGATTGGGTGTGAATATAATGCGGGACCTAGGAGAGTCAAACATGCTCTTTGAGGGATTAGAGATGTTTTTTGGACTGATGTAGCTAGATGGGTCTGGGTACATGAGACACTATTTCTGTTCTTTTTGGGTTGATGTCTCTATGCTGACTCATATTGAGTTTCTAGTATAGAGCTCCCACTTGCAGGTGTTCTCAGCGGTCGCACAGTGCATTGGCTAGTATGAGATTGTTCATTTTTTGGGAGATTGAGATAGAGATGTGGCAGTGTTATGCCAACTCATGTGCGAGTGGGAGATGTTAGTAATGGGCGCCCATGTGGCATGACCTTTTGAATTTGAATTTTAACCTTATCCAAATAGGTTTTGAATTGAATTCAAACCTATTTAGGATAACCACTCAGGATACAGATATTATCAGTTTTAACTGATATGGATAAATAATAATAACATAATATATATCTGATATATGGTTACGGGTAATTAAGAGAGAAACAACGTATGATCTGTTTCTACCCATATATTGACTCTCTCCCAAAAACAACGATTAAGTCTTTTGCACTGTGATTTGTGTGGGTGATATTCAATCTGTGATATCACTTCACTGCTGGGTTGGTTTATCAGTTTCTGGAAACACGTGATTTATCCACGAGATTCTATCATCAAAAAGGTATGATCTAAACATTTTATCCGCTGCATGTTTTGTGTTTTGATTTACAACAATCAACATAAAAATAACAAATAAATAAACAAAACTTTAAATTGTTAGATAAACTTTAAACGTACCGTACCACTTCTACAGCCCTCCTTTTGAACTTCATCTTGAAATCAACCAACTGAAACCATTGCACAGTATGAAGATTCGACGGCGAATCGATCGATGCTCCGCTGAGAATCGACCAAATTCAAAACTGTGGTTGATGAAGAAAGCTTAGACTGATCGGAGTGAATAAAAATGAAGTAGAATGGATCGGAAAATTGAGAATTGAGATTAGGAATGCTAGAGAGATGTGAGTGGATTGAATGAAGAGGTTTTAGAGATCAAAATTTTCTAGGGTTTTCCGAGAAAATACAGAGGGAGAAGAAGAGAGAGAAAGTGAGAATAAAGGGAAAATATTCTGTGGAAGCTCAAGGAGTATATGTAACATTGAACATTTTTTTTTTTTTTTATTTTGATCGAGAGAAGGTTGTGAGGTGTCAACCTCTGTAGCTCCAGGCCCGGTGGTCCGGAATTGTCTGATTTAATTTAATTGATAGAAAGGAATTTATCATTAAGGTACTAGGGGAGCGCATCACCCGTCTCAATCATGACTAAGGATCGATCGAAATATAGCGCAAGGTCTTTGAAGAGAACTCCTGAAAAATTTAAAATTTTCGTGTTCCCAAAAGTTGAACTTATGGTTGTAGAAGGCAAGGCCTTCACCATTGGGCCACCACTCTCGGTGGTGGTACGTAATATTCAACATTCGATCAAATAAAATAATATTGAAATTTTAAATATATAAATTAATTTGACAAATTATATATAATTTTGTTTATATTTTCACTTCAAAAAATAAAAATAAAAATATTAAAAATATGAATTTTTATCATTTTTATTTTATCCATCAAACTAGTTTTTATTTAAGTAAATCACAATTATGTAAAGATTATGATTTAAGTATTAAAAAAATTATATCACACATTGTATTTTATTTTATTTTATCTCATATGCATTGCCAATTATTTGGATAATCAACCTTATAAGCGAGGTGAAATCTCATTATTATTGTAAAAAGTTATTCTATAATATTATTATACTCCAAACAGGTCTTTGATTAATCTTTGTTGCGGTACTTGAAACAAGGGACACTTTGGTTGGGACTGTCGAAATTAGCACTCCGATGATTAAATCAAATTTTTGATGAAAGAAAATGAGTTAGATATTTTGGAAATTAAATAAGGTTCAATGAAAGTGCGGACCTCTGTTCTCCTATTTACATTCTTTATATAGAGATTTGGTATAGATATTTCATTCGTTGTCTAATCTTTTCTCCATCATCATCATAATGTCAGAAGAGAAAATTATTCAGTAATCTCGAAATATAAACATACTCCTATTAAGTGGTGTTTTGGAAAGTTGGTAAAAATCTAATTTTTTGGTTTTTTACTGGCTTTTTTGGCCCAAAAAAACTGACATTTTTTGCTAAAAAAACTAAAAAACCAAAAAACTAGCTTTTTTAACTTGTTGCCAAACTGTCCCTAAATCTATGGAAAATGAAGGATTAGGCCTACCTTGATTGGGATATCCTACTGGATGATATATAGTATTCGGCATAAATGTTCAATTGGCGGAATACCTTTTCGACATACCACTAGTCAACGTAGGGATTTACTCGGCTCTGATCTCATATAATCCAGTAGGCTTGGTTGGACTTGGGCCCATTAGCATTAGGCCTGAAAGTGTTTTGTTTGCCGAATGTGCAATTTTCATACTTAGCTCACGCAATTATATATTCAAAATTGAATAATTTAATAGACGGGATAATTACATCTAAAATGTTGTATAATTTTAATTTTTTATTAAGTGGTTAACAATAGTATTAGCAAAATTATGAGAGTCAAGATAATAAAAATACAAACATCAATGACCATGGTTATAAATTTGGATAATTTGAACTTATATTAAAAATTATAGTGACTAAATTAATTTATTTCATCTTGAAATTTTTATATGTTATGGATTAAAACACGTTAGAATAACAGGTTTTGATCTCCAAAATTTCACAATTCTCCACAAGCTCCTTGTAAGCATCAGGCATGCCACTTTTCATGGTGTCCAAGTCCTCCGGTGTTCTAATTCCAGCTACTACATCCTCTCCCTATTCAAAGATTTTAACCAGCTATCTCTCAACATTGACTCAAAATGTCAATTACAAAAAAAATCAAACAGGGTTTGAATTTAGGACCTGAGCATTGACTAGAAACTCCCCATAGAGCTTCTTTTCACCGGTGCTCGGGTTCCTAGTGAAGAGGACCCCTGTCCCGGACGTGTTTCCCATGTTCCCAAACACCATGCATTGAATATTATCTGATTAATCGGCAAGCGCCGGAGGTTCCTCCCCAACCGTCAATCTCTTCTCTCCACCCCCCTCCAGGGCTTTTTGAATCTCTGCGAAGGTAAAAATGGTGGGAATATGACTTTCAGTGGAGAAGGATCATCAGAGCAAGGTTTGGATGGTGGAAGTGATAATAAAACTGTGGTTGAGATGTGCGCTCCTCGTGATTGGGTTACTTGTCCTGTTTGTGGTAACACAGTTTGCGGCGAAGATTATCTGATTAATTCTCATTTGGACACATTCATCGTCCTCATTGTTCTATACAAAACATTCACAGAAAATATATATATCTACTTTACCTACTCCATCTACCACCTACTACCACCTACTCTTCTATATATAGGAATCATTGTAACATTCAATAAATCAACAATTATCAATAGATCAATCAATAATATACATCAATTTATTTTTACATGGTATCAGAGCTATAAGATTTAGGCCTATATTTCTTTCTCACCGGCGGGCAGTCGGCCGGCAACCTTGCCTTCACTGCCCGCTGGAGTTTTCTACACATACCTTCACTCCGCTGCATCTTCAACTCTCTCTCTGTGTATTGAAATTCAGGGAGAAAGACAGACACACACACATGGGCTAGTCTCTCAGTTCTCTCTTGGTGTTCGAACTCGCCTCAAGTCCCTCGCTTTGCAGAGACTCCGATCCTCACCACCACCCATAGAAGCCATAGCAGCAAGCAACTCACACCAGTCTTCTTCTTCTTCTTCTTCTTCTTCTTCTTCTACAACAGCCAACAACATTTTTTTTTTCCCCCCTTAAAGCAAGATGGCTTTGCCAGTTTCACCTATTGGATTTGAAACCGTTGTGAACCACCGTGGACCACCATTGGCTGCCTTACCTCCATCATCACATTTATCATCTTCTCGCTGACCCGGTCTTTCCAACTGCAACTTCCAACGACCCAACCTCCCAAACCTTAACTTCCAGCGACCCAATCAAACCTACCATTTCCAGCTGCGACCTCCAGATCTTCGCTTTCTAAGATGGGATGCTATTTCTCAACAATTGCAGCAAGCTATCGGCTTTTGTCCAGCGAGCTACTTTCAGACGAGTTATCGGCTCTGTGAACCACCCTGCATGTGTTGCCATGAACCACGTCCCTGCAGCTACATATCGAACTACACGACCCCAACTTCGCATACCCACCAGAGGTCTTTGATGGGTCGTGAACTTTTGATTGTTCCATCTGCTTGCAGCTCAGCAAGTTCTTGATTTGGTCCCATGAGGATGGTTGATTTTTATAATGCTTTCGCTTTGGCTTGGAGATTTTTATAATGATTTTTATAATCTCGAAGTTCTCTCTCTCTCTATCCAACCCACCAACTTAGCCGCTTTTGTCCCCCACACCATAATTGTTTTCACCACCCACCACCCCCACTCAACTTTCTTTTACTTTAAATATATATATATATATATATATTTATTTTGTGTGTTCCCACTCCCTTCCATTTTCTTTTATTTTCTATCTATATATATATTTTTTTATTTACCTCCACATCCCAACACACACGCACATGCATAAAGAGACCCATTTTATTTTTTTATTATTCAAACAACACCACTTTCACACCACACCGTCATCCCACTATCCCTTTTATTTATTTTATTTTATCTTCTTTTTTTTTGTACAAATACAAAACAAAAAAAAAAAAAAAAAAAACAATTCACATGGTTGCTATCTCTCTGTTTGGAGAAGAGTCTAATTTGTATTAGCTAAGCCAGCCTAGCCTTCCATCTCTGTGAATTATGGAGTGACGTGGGAAAGCCATGTGGATCTTGCTGGCAAGCTTCCCGTGCGCAAGAACAGTCTTGTAGCAACCTGCCTAAATTGACTGAAAGTAATCTATTAAATGTTCATCAGGGTGGCTGGTAAGCCAAAGTGTGAGTTTTCTGAAGGACTCTACATTTGGAAGCACTGATCATCTAATTCTGTTACCACTCATAGCCTTCAACTTCAATTCATCCGATGTGATGGCACTGCTATTCAAGTTCAATTTATTTGTTTGGTTTTGCAACATGAGAAGCCTGATTACATAATTGCATCATAATAATGTACCTTGGCAACAGTAATTAAATGTGTACATGTGCAAGCATTCACATGTTTGACTATAATTTTGTCTCCTACAGAGCCAGACCTCAACAGGAAAAGCGCATCATGTTGCCATTTTGTCACTATTTCACAATTATTGTGTAAAACAAGAAAATGAAAAAGAAAATGTAGATAGAAGATGCACACGCATGAACACGCACACTTTCTTGCACGTTGACAAGATGAGAGCAGAAGAGAAAGATTAATGGTCCTGGCATTTTCTTGCAAGAGGAGACAGTGAATCAATTGCACTCGCGCATTGCATATTTTATGAACCATTTTGTATCTTATTGCATGGTGTTAATATATTTTATGTTAGTGCTTTAGGCTTTAGATTAGTGCCTTTACTTTCGGTTAGTGGATCCACTTTTGGCATGATGATGTTTGTAATTTTCTCTCCTATATAACGGAGAATGTACCTCTTTATTCATATAACATTCAATACATAAATAAATCAATACATAATTCATTCTCTCTGTATCTCTCTCTATCAATTTATCTTACATGGTATCAGAGCTATAAGATTTAGGCCTATATTTCTTTCTCACCGGCAGGCAGTCGGCCGGCAACCTTGCCTTCACTGCCCGCTGGAGTTTTTTTACACATACCTTCACTCCGCTGCATCTTCAACTCTCTCTCTCTGTATTGAAATTCAGGGAGAAAGAAAGACACACACACATGGGCTAGTCTCTCAGTCCTCTCTTGGTGTTCGAACTCGCCCCAAGTCCTTTGCAGAGACTCCGACTAGCACCACCTCGCCAAAACCACCGATCCTCACTACCACCCATAGAAGCCATAGCAGCAAGCAACTCACACCAGTCCTCTTCT